AAAATGATCATATTCGCAGATGTTATCAGCCAACCGATAAATCCACCAGCAGCTATTGTGGAAAGTTTGTCAGGGTGGGACTGAATTTTTCTTAAATTTCACATGCTGATTAAAAGAGACAATTCAACAAATATATTTCGGACAATAAGTCAGAAATACAGTATTTTTCATTTAAGATGCATCATTAGGGTTTGACAATTTGTGACCCAGTGTCTGCAGAGAGTGGCTGGACATTTAGTCAGCTAAGCTTAAGCTCCAACCCTGGCACTACTTCAGGTTCCTTAAAGCAGCAGATGGGCACGCATAGCTTGTACTCCCTAACCCTACGCCAGATTACAAAATGTGATGGTCACTGTAGCCGTGCTCTGGCCTCCTAACGGAGTAAACAAACCAGGGAGGCAAAAAAAACAACAAAAAAGACTGACTGGAAGAGAGAGGGAGAGAAAAGAAGACGAAGTCGAAGCCAAATTCAAGTCACGGAGGTGCGTGATGTTGGCTGCTGAGAATATATGCGAGAACACCGCCCTGACAAATTTATATCCCTGTTATGCAGAGGTGCTCAGTCTAAAAATACATTTGAGGATTCAAACTAGAAAGCATGTGTTCTTGTGCTCGTAAGTCTTTTTTTAGGCTATTAAAAAAACTAAAAGTGAAAAGAAAACCAATCTTAAAAATCATTTCATTTCTAATTAAGCTCATAGTTTGAGCTGCCTCCAATCCCAGCATGCACTGCATAACATGTTTCTAATCTCACACAGGCAAATCAAACAAACCATCTTTTTAACATTTAAGTTGAGTAGAAACAGATCAACTTAGCATTTTCAAATGATATTACTGTTGGCATCGCTGCTGCAAATACCGTATCGCAACATCAATACAGCTACAGGCCTACTGCCCAAAGTAAGAAACAGCCATAAAATTCCCAATTTGAACTAGAATCCCGATTCTCAATGCTAAGATAAATAAACTAGCATGCAAATTCTGTTACTGATCAACTAACAGTAACATTACCAACTGAACAACAGTTTTGAACCCAGAAGTTCCAGAGATCTCTGTTGTCTGTCTAGCAATCGAAATCCACGTGCCACGAAGTGGTTCATTATTTTTCTGTGAGATTTCATACAGAAAGTGGCAGAAAGAATAGAATAGTGAAGGTGAGGTTTACAGGGAATTTGAATTGTTATAATAGAAACTGATTTCATGACAACTTTACAACGACTTTGTTTACTAATTTGTTACTGTTCATATTGTAAAAGAGCATGCATGCTCAACCAACCTGCAAAAAGAAAAACAAACTAAAGACCCACCTTTAGCACAATTTTTTGTGGTAATGGTCATGGAACATTGTCGTTATTCTGTCAACATCCTGTCTGTTTCTTTTTGCCGTTGAGTCCATGCTGAGTAACTCAGATTACGTTCCTTCCCTAAGAGAGTGATGGC